TGAGAGGCGGGACCAAAGAGCCAGAGCTCAACCCCCGCAAACACAACTAGGCGAGTACGTACGTACGTACGTGCGTGCGCGCGCGCACACGCGCGCACACGCGCACGCGCGCGCGCGCACACACACACACACACACACACACACACACACACACACACACACACACACACACACACACACACACACACACACACACACACACACACACACACACACACACACACACACACACACACACACACACACACACACACACACACACACACACACACACACACACACACACACACACACACACACACACACACACACACACACACACACACACACACACACACACACACACACACACACACACACACACACACACACACACACACACACACACACACACACACACACACACACACACACACACACACACACACACACACACACACACACACACACACACACACACACACACACACACACACACACACACACACACACACACACACACACACACACACACACACACACACACACACACACACACACACACACACACACACACACACACACACACACACACACACACACACACACACACACACACACACACACACACACACACACACACACACACACACACACACACACACACACGCACACACGCACACACGCACACACGCACACACGCACACACGCACACACGCACACACGCACGCACGCACGCACGCACGCACGCACGCACGCACGCACGCACGCACACACGCACGCACGCACACACGCACGCACGCACGCACGCACGCACGCACGCACGCACGCACGCACGCACGCACGCACGCACGCACACACGCACACTAAATGTCATGTTATGGAATGTGGAATAGGAGAACATAGACCCCACACAACCTATATATTATGTGAGAAATCTTTAAAGAATTCTGATAAAGAAAGAGATCTAGGAGTGGTTCTAGATAGAAAACTATCACCTGAGGACCACATAAAGAATATTGTGCAAGGAGCCTATGCTATGCTTTCTAACTTCAGAATTGCATTTAAATACATGGATGGCGATATACTAAAGAAATTGTTCATGACTTTTGTTAGGCCAAAGCTAGAATATGCAGCTGTTGTGTGGTGCCCATATCTTAAGAAGCACATCAACAAACTGGAAAAGGTGCAAAGACATGCTACTAAGTGGCTCCCAGAACTGAAGGGCAAGAGCTACGAGGAGAGGTTAGAAGCATTAAATATGCCAAAACTAGAAGACAGAAGAAAAAGAGGTGATATGATCACTACATACAAAATAGTTACAGGAATTGATAAAATCGACAGGGAAGACTTCCCGAGACCTGGAATTTCAAGAACAAGAGGTCATAGATTTAAACTAGCTAAACACAGATGCCGAAGAAATATAAGAAAATTCACCTTCGCAAATAGAGTGGTAGACAGTTGGAACAAGTTAAGTGAGAAGGTGGTGGAGGCCAAGACCGTCAGTAGTTTCAAAGCGTTATATGACAAAGAGTGCTGGGAAGACGGGACACCACGAGCGTAGCTCTCATCCTGTAACTACACTTAGGTAATTACACTTAGGTAATTACACATGCACTCGCCTAGTTGTGCTTGTAGGGTTTGAGTTCCAGTTCTATAGTCCCACCTCTCAACTGTCAATCTACTGGTGTACAGGTTCCCAAACTTCTTGAGCTCTTATCATATCTACATTTGAAATTGTGTATGGAGTCTGCCTCCACCACACCACTTCCCAATACATTCATTTACTAACTATTCTGACACTGAAAAAGTTTTTCTAATGTTTGTGACTCATTTGGGTGCTCTGCTTTCCCGTGCGAGAGTACCACCAGTGTTAAATAATCCGGCCTAATCTACCCTGTCAATTCCCTGCGAATTTTGTATGTGGTGATCATATCTCCCAAAGCTCTTATCTCTTCCAGCAACATGAGGTACAATTCACACATCCTTTTTTCGTAATTCATGCTTCTTAGTTCTGGGACAAGTCTAGTGGCATACCTCTGAACTTTCTCCAGCTTCATTTTGTGTTTGACAAGATATGGACTCCATGCTGAGGCCGCATACTTCAGGACTGGTCTTACATATGTGGCATACAAGGTTCCGAGCGATTCCTTACACAGTTTCTGAAGGCAGTTCTGATGTTAGCCAGCCTTGCAAATGCCGCCGATATTCTTTTGATGTGGACTTCAGGAGACAGGTTCGGGGTGATAACTCCTAGATCTTTCTCTAGTGATTGCATTTGTTTTTTGGTTTGTGAACTCTCATTGTACAGGCTTAGTGTGTAGTTATTATACATAGTATCAATTACTAATATGCTTTTGCACTTTTTGTTTATCAATATTTTGAGATGGGAATCATAACTGTTCCCTATTCTAACTTGGGCCAAAAATATTTTAAGCCTTCCTCCATGTACTTGATTATGATGAAACTGGCCAGAGTAGCATATGTGCCTGTTACTATACCCTTTATGCGACCCTCCTGGTGTCTTGTTACTATCCAAGACCACCCCTAAGTCTTTCATTGCCCAAGTTTTATAGTCTTTTCCAACAACTTTTATAAATATAATCCAATTTCACTTATTCTACAATATTACACGACATTTACCCACACTGAATTCCATTTGCCATGCATTCTTCAGTGTGTTCATTTTGTCGTCAGCCATTTAGAAGCTTAGGATCATACACAAACACATTCCTATAACTATTCCTTAAGGTATATTACGTGTATGCAATACACAACGAACATTGCTGGCACCGAGGCTCATGGGATTCTTAGTGACATCTCAGAAGCCAAATTTATTACTGCTGTCATCTTTATTTAAAAACAATTCATTCAAGTAGTAGTAATCTCACCTGCCAACTACCAGAATTTTTACGTGTGACTTTATTGAACGCCTTTTTCAGATCTAGTCTTGTGCATTGTGCAATATGCCCAGCCATCTCTGACAAAACCTTAGCAATCCTATTATAAAAATGAAGTACTGTAGATTTGAGATCCATGACCTAGTCCTAAACTCAAAATGTGTTATTAAATTGTTTTTCAACTTACAGTACATATGCTTCCCTTTACATAATATACCATGTGCTGATCACACTTAATCCCCCACTGCCTCACACACTTCTCTCCTTGAATTTCCTCTTTTACACTCTTCACCAGTATACTGTCACCACCTCACCACCTCCATGACTAGACAATCTCGGTACACACTCCAATCTTGCAGTTTATTAACATTTGCTCTCCACATCTTTGACATTTTCATAGCTTACTTAATTTATTATACCCATTTATTTACTTATACTTATACCAATTTATTATACTCATACCACACAGTCTCGTAACATTGTTCATTTCTACTGCTATAACTCTCTGAATTTCCATGTTCATACCACTTATCCATAAATCCTTTTAATACTAGTGCAAATTGCAATATATACTGTATTCAGTACAGTACTATACAAATTGGTAAGATACTATAAAAGTGTGCATTATAAATTCAAAAGAACAACAGGACTATAATACCAATAGGTTTCAGGTTTAGCTACATGATAAATACAATTAAAATTACAGCATGCAAGTATAAACTTGGAAAAGAAAAGTGGCATGCATTATCAACTCTGCAAAGAGAGATGCAATACAATATTTGCAAATCAAACTGAAAAAAAAAGACACCATGGAGTAGAGATAAAGAAGAATGTCAGATCAAAACAGCAGAGCGAGAATGTGTGAAATAAGGTCAATAATCCGTGGTTATATATCTAAAAAGCATCAGTTATACAGGAGGAATGCCAAGGTTATCCAACAACTTTTCCGTGCTCTGGCAAGACCTCGCCGGGTTGTGCTGCGTTCCCTTGGTTGGGATCACTATCCCCGGGTTGGTTGCCATACCGTATTAAAGAAAGAAATTCTTTGGAAGCAGAGAAACAAGGAAAATCTAATTCCTAGCTTTCAGAATCCACTTGACCAATATATATTAAGAGGATTGAGGAAAACTACACTTATTTGAGAAGCATAAAATGAGGGGGTGATATGACTGAGTACACAAATTGATGAAAGGCATTAGAAGATATAAAAATACAGGCAGTGCTTTAAACTAAAAAGTTGTAACGCTAAACAATGGATTAAATTTTGGAAAAATTCAGTTGTAAACCAAATATGGGTAAGAACTGGTTTATATGGGTAAGAACTGGTTTAGCAATAGAAATGTACAAAGGTGAAACAGACTGCCAAGCAGCATCACTGAAGTAAATAACTTGGACAGATTTTTTGAGTGAAAATGGCTATGTAAACAGGACCTGCAAAAACTGGGCCAGTAGAAATGCACATTCCTATACAGTACTGTATTCTTATTTGTATTTCACTAAATAAATATTGAGCATGTAAAGTTGTGGTACAGGTAATTTGTTTATCAAAACTCTTACTATTTTCAGTTTAAACAATACATCCTCAATGAAAACATTATACTGTATTCTGATATTATGTATACAATGCAGATTGTTGATCAAGATTATAGGAAGTCCATTCTCATACATAATTAAGTAATTTATTAAAACCACAAGTATTCAAACAATGGAATTACAGTATACTAATGACAATAACTTTAGCCAATTTCCTAACTATTTTAATTTGGCTTTAACTGTTATTTTATCAACATATGTTCATCATGAATATCATTACTCTATATAATGTCCTGAGGCTTATGAGAATAAATCCTAACAAGCAAGTGTACTAACTTTTCAAAGTAAGAGGATGGAGTAATACCCTCAATATGAGATACAAATTACTGCAAATCTCCCAGGAAATACTAAGATCAGGATTAAATTAATTGTCCAACAAGTACAATACAAAGCCAAAAACTAAAAATTCAGGACTTCTATCAATGCTTTCTTAAAGCTATAAGAATGTCTTCACAGATTTCATTACGAAATTAAATATTCAAGCAACTTTAACACATTAAATAAGGGGGTCCAAAGTGAAACAGAACCTCAACCATTTCTTATATTTAATGGCGCCTCATTAGCTACGAGAACCACCACCACAAAGTTCCGCTCTGGAATATGCATCTTCCAACTGGGAAAACTAACCAACCACTTAAAAAATATAAAAGCTAAAATATATATATAGGATTGTAATTTACAAAATATACTAATTATTAATTTTCAAGGTGAGAAATAGCAATAAAAATAAAGAATGTAGCATAGTAGTAAGGTGATCAAGAAAATATAAGAATAAATCAAGGGGGCAACAAAGATAGCCGATAATATATGAACAACATGAAATGAGTAAAATAGTAGTAAAACAGGAGGGTGGTGGGAGGGGGGAACAAAAACAATCATCAAAAGAAGGCTCCAAGCTGGGATAAAGAAGAAATTAATAAGACCAAAGTATAAAACCAGAAGCGAGTTGGCTAATCAAGTCAAATTTTAAATTCAACTTGTGAAAAGGGAAAATGCCAATATATACGGTAGGGGGGAAATGAATAATGATAGCCAGGCAAGGAAGAACTCGAACACTTCACCTTGGAACCTTCCTTTTATGGATATTCTGCATATTTACAAGTTAATCACATATCTCCCTCCTCAGTAAGGAGCTACCAGTTATACACAGCACAAAATAATTCTTAAATATTTTTACTGCAGTGTATATAAATAAAAAGGAGTTCCGGTGCTCCTTTATTTTAGACAACAAATGTTTAAATATAAAATTAGACTAGGAAGGAGAGACACTATTCAAATCCCTTTTGAAAAGGAATTTTTAAAACCCGATTTATTTATTTCTAGTCATTTTCAGAAACCATGGTTACAACTCAAGGCTCTGAAAGATTCAACTTTAGTTCGTGACAGCTTGCAGAATCCTTAGAGAATCACACACTGAAAAATAAAATGCATTTGTATAAATTATCTAAGACAAATTTGTTTCCCAGACACCACTAAATGAAACACTAACCTACCTTAGTAAATCCTTTCCTTATTTTTGTTCACACCAATTATAAATTTCCAAATAGGTATCGCCTGGTCCTGTTGACTATCACTGCGCACCATGCACATGTGTACTACTACTTCTCACTCACTCACTCACTCACACACACACACACACACACACACACACACACACACACACACACACACACACACACACACACACACACACACACACACACACACACACACACACACACACACACACACACACACACACACACACACACACACACACACACACACACACACACACACACACACACACACCACACACACACACACACACACACACACACACACACACACACACACACACACACACACACACACACACACACACACACACACACACACACACACACACACACACACACACACACACACACACACACACACACACACACACACACACACACACACACACACACACACACACACACACACACACACACACACACACACACACACACACACACACACACACACACACACACACACACACACACACACACACACACACACACACACACACACACACACACACACACACACACACACACACACACACACACACACACACACACACACACACACACACACACACACACACACACACACACACACACACACACACACACACACACACACACACACACACACACACACACACACACACACACACACACACACACACACACACACACACACACACACACACACACACACACACACACACACACACACACACACACACACACACACACACACACACACACACACACACACACACACACACACACACACACACACACACACACACACACACACACACACACACACACACACACACACACACACACACACACACACACACACACACACACACACACACACACACACACACACACACACACACACACACACACACACACACACACACACACACACACACACACACACACACACACACACACACACACACACACACACACACACACACACACACACACACACACACACACACACACACACACACACACACACACACACACACACACACACACACACACACACACACACACACACACACACACACACACACACACACACACACACACACACACACACACACACACACACACACACACACACACACACACACACACATCATAACTACCCATCTTCCTTGCCTCTCTCTCTCCCCATCCACTCTCAAATATACTTTGTACATTATTATAGTTCATTTGTTACACATGTCCATATTTTCACAGAAAGCTCCTTAGTATTACAAGTCACACACACATCATGGCATTTATTATTTTCCTAACACCATAGATAACCAAAATTATGCTCTAACATTGCTGCTCTAACATTTTTCATGTTTATGCCACATCTGTATTTTACATTTATAAATTAGAATTGGAAGTCAATCCTTCACTCCTTTCTATCAGGCTCTCTTCATTTAACCAGAAAAATTCTAGTTAAATAGAAAGTTACTTTACTCTCATAATCACTTGCAGAAATTCCTTCAGTTAACTCCACATCCAAAGTACAGAATTAAATACACTTGCCATGATTTCATGTACCAAATTTTCATCTCTGATTTCACTTAGGCAACAGACGAAATATTTTGCTATCCTATACATATAGTACAGTGGTACCTCGGTTTAAGAGTTTAATCCGTTCCTGGAGATGGCTCATATTCCGAAAACTCATAATCCGAAGCTAATATCCCCATAAGAAATAATGGGAAATGAATTAATCCGTTCCTGACTACCCAAAACCTCACTTCAAACTAAATTTTATACCTAATTTATCTAAATAAACCTACAAAACTATGTTCAAGTTATTACTTACCCTTGCTGATGACTACTGTTGGCGTATGGATGATGATGAGGGGGGAGGAGGAGAGGTGTTACTGCTTGGAAGGGGGAGTCCCCTTCCATTATAACATCAGGCACTGAGGACTTCTCTGGGGTGTATTCTCTGGCACGTTTTGCCTGCATACCACTAGGACTTGCTTGTCTTACTAAGAATCTGTCTAAAGACACTTTTTTTTCCCTACATTTTAACACTTGTCTGTAGTAAGACATCACGTTGTCATTTAAAAGGTCAATGCAACGGCCTGCTAGAGCTTTATCTGGGCGAGTTTTTTCAACAAAACTTTGCAATTCTTCCCATACTTCACACATTTTCTTAATGAAGAAGGGACATCCTCTACTGCCTCTACTCACAGCTATTTTCTTAGGTTGAACCTTACCAATGGCTTTCTTGAGACCCATGGCGAGATATATAATAACTTTTATGCTCAAAGGGCCAAAAAACTGACAAAAAACTTTAAATCCTTGTGAAGAATTCAGGCGAGATAGTCACTGGGTGCGAGGCATTGGTAAACTGAGGCGCAATCGCCGTGCTACCACACACTAGTCGGCCTGTACGCGCATCAACACCCTCGTCTTCCGAGGGAACCCTCGCCTTCCGAGGCAAATTTTCCAAACAAATCCTGCTCGTATTCCGAAAAACTCGTATACAGGGACACTCGTATTTTGAGGTACCACTGTACTATATCAACATCCAAAATTCAAACCCCATTATTTAATAAGTAATAATTTACAACTTTCCTCTCAACCAAATCCATATATTGCAACCTCAAAACTTTTAACTTAATACAGCAATTGCAGATCCATTCTGAACTTTAAACTTCAAACTTTCAAGTACTTATTTTTATTTTCAGTAACAAAATTTTAACTACACAAATTGTTTTGCATGCCTACACATGTATATATTTCATCATTTAAAAACCCAGGTGACAACTAAAATCAGCAAATGACAATAACCCCATAACTGCTCTTCAAGGGTTATATTGGAACAATATTACACAATTCTTTATATAAAAAAAAACTAGAAACAATAGTAGATTTTTGAAGCTTACCTCCTTTTTCTTTTTCTCCTCTTGTGTATGCGGTGGGTGCTGGGGTGAATGGTGAGTCTGTGGTGGTGGAGAATCAGTTGTCTGTTGTGGTGCATTAGCTTCAGCCTCTGCCTCGGCTGCTAACCGGTTTTCTTCCTCTTGCAACTTTTTAGCTATTTCCTCACTGAGTGGGGGGAAAAAAATTAATGATTTCAGTCACCATCAATCATGCCTATAGACCTTAAAAGCAGACAAAGACAGTGGGAGTGATGCATCTTGCACTACACAAACCACAGGAAAGCACAGATGAACCAATCAACATTCTACAGCTGATAAAGTTTTTTACCCAACTCTCTACCACAATCTACAATTACGATAAGAAAAAACCAGTGTTGAATGTAATGAAACACCATTTTCTAGACGAATCCCGGAGGCTCTCCCGGAGCTATCCAGGCTGAATGAATATGCACAACTTTCTGGCATAAGTTAACGTGCATGGAGTTCTTGCCTACCGGGGATCACGAGCCAGAACCTGGCCTCCTCGGAGAGGCATGAGGCGCAATGGCCTATAGGAACTCCCATGTGGTTGGGAGTTGACTGATGCCAGAAAGTTATACATATCCATTCAGCCTGGGTAGCTCTGGGGAGCCGACAGGGCTCCCCCCAGAAAATGTGCAAGATCAGTACACACACAGTAGACACACACACAAGTATTTTACACAAAAACACCATCTTGTAAATCTAAAGCAGGGGGGTATCCATTTCTTTATACAACTATCTTCAAGAGAGCACTCACTCGGACATATTATGTAGGCCAAGCGAGTCCTTCAAACGCTCAAACGATTGTTGCTGCTGCTGTTGTAAATCCACTTCATGCTGAAGCATCGCTGCCAACTGTTGACTGAATAGTTTCACCAAATTACAAAATAATGAAAACAAATATTACTTCGGTGGACTTTGATACAAGAACATAATCACTTAACTCACTGTTGACAGTGCTTGTGAAACCCAGTTAATATCCCAATCTGAATTTATTAAATTTATGAGTAAAAATACGCCTGATAAAATTTAATTTGAGCAGCATACAAACATTTATTTACACTACAGTATTTAAAGAATTACTAGCATTAAAGACTTTGCAACTCCCCAAATTCACAAAAATTATTAGTAAATGCAATAACTACTGCATTCCAAGATATTACAAATTTAATAAATACGGTATATACATACTTCAGTCATAGTGATTATATGGTACTGTAATGAGCAGAGGCTAGTGTAGTAAGCATTGCGTAATAATGGATGGTTGCAGTGACGAGTAAATGTGTTGTCTGTGGCGGAGACACACACACAGGACAGAGCAATATATGATAAAGGTTTTCAAGCATTTTGGGGCATAAACAAGGGAATTTAAAACAGGATTCTGAAACTTTCCAAACACGTCAGAAGTTTCAACAATGGGAATAATATGGAGAAAGCGTATCTTGGGGATAATACTGTAAGTTTGGGAAAATGATTGTGGAAGAGTCGAATGGCCTTCTAGTTAGCATTACATGTACTGAGAAAAAACTAACAGGTTTCAAAAATGGATTGGTTACGTACATAATTCAGAAGTCGTAGTTAAATGTGATGCATCTAATACGAGCCAACAAGCCTGGTGTAATAAATCCCCATTCTTATATTATGTTGTTATGGGTGAATTTGAATGTCTGTAGTAGCAATTATTTTAACATTTTAGAGGGTATGACAACATAAATCTCTGCCTCATGTATGCAAGCTAACAGCTCTCTCAATCACAACCTTACCCAACTTATTTTACCCAGAACACAATCCACCAATCTTTTTTTCCATTCATGTTCCCAATTACTGAGTTCACAAGAGTGAATAGAAAAGTGCCCAATTACAGTACAGTATCTCAATCCATCCAGGATTCGAACTCCGATAATCTCACTTGTGAGACAGGCATGACAATACTGCACCACAGGGTGTTGTCATGAGTCATGTTATGATGACTCTGTAGTGCTCACCAGTCATGTCTATGAGGAGCAAGACCTGGCTCCTTGAGCACCACTTCCTAGCTTTATGAACCTAATGCATTTAAATTTCTTATTCTATTTGTTTGTCATATTTGCTCTTGAAGCTGTGGATGAAGGTGGCTTCCACGACTATTATATGTATTCCACCTGCTGAACACCCTCCTCAATGTATATTAATATTCTCTCAATGCTCTGCACAATATGCATTTACAGCTTCCACCTATGTCCTATTTTCAAATTGATAAGCTGTCTTTGTCCACTTCATTTATTCCCCCTCAATATTTTGTATACAGTTATCATATTCTCCCTCTCTCTCCTCTCCTCTGGGGTTGCCAGATTCAATTCACAACCTGTCTTAAGGGATGGGAAACTAAAATTATTTGAATTATGTGAAAATTACTTATAAATGAAACAAATCTCCAACTTGTTGGCTTCAGCGTCGTGAAAGCCATCCCAATATTTTCAGAAATGGATTTTAGACGATTTAAAAAAAAAAAAAAGTTTGTTGACAAGGAGAACAGTTATTAATCGGAACTGAGGGATAATGCAGTAATAAAGAGATGCAAGCACCTGTCTGATGCACGAAGAAGAAGAATAGTAGTAAAAAGTGTGCACAATGTGGATATGCAGCTGGTACCTTTATAGCATTGCCAAGTAATACATAACACAAATACAGTGGTACCTTCGTTTACGATCCTAATCTGTTCTCACAGACGTGTCGTCAGCCAAAACGAATTTTCCCATAAGAAATAATGTAAATTGAATTAATCCGTTGCACACCCCCAAAAATATTAACTTAAAAATACATTTTATACCAAATAACACTCATTTTCTACTAGCTACAATACAGTATGTATATCTTACCTTGAATGGGTACTCTTGTTGGCATATGGAAGACAGTGAGGAAGAGGAGAGGTTTATGTTTGGAAGGGAAGGGGAGGGGGGAGGGGAGTCCCCTTCCATTATAACATTGGGAAGTGATCAATTTTCTGGGGTATTCTCTCTATGTTTTGCAGGCATATCACTAGGACCTGGTTGTGGCTCACTGCTTGCTTGTCTTATTAAATCTGTCTAAAGACACTTGTTTTTCCCTATGTTTTAACACTTTTCTGTAGCGAGACATCACATTCATTCACTATGAATGATCGTGTTTTTCCTCTATCGTCTTCCTCAATTATTTTCTTAGGTTGAACTTTACCACCGACTTTCTTGGGACCCATGGCATGATATAAAAAACTTTGTTAAAAAAAACAAAAAAAAAGCAGGCAAACAAGGAAATTCTTTACAAAGACTTCAAGCGCAGCCACGGTCGTAACTACATGGGATAGACTTGTAAACAAACTGAGCGTGCCTCGTCCCACGCCCCCAGCACCATGTGCTTGTTCGATCTACATGCATATGAACAGATGTCGTCTTCCAAGTAAACCATCGTTCACTAATTCAAATTTCACTAAAAAATTTGACGTCGTGTTCCAAAAAAATTTGCCTTCTAGGGCAGTCGTCAACCGAGATTCCACTAATAATGAGTAGGTATATTATTATGCTCTATTTTGTTATATATTACAAATATATTGCCCAATGTTAATATCCGTTACTTTCACCAATGTCAAAAAAATATTTTTTTCAAGGGATTTTTTTGTTTTCCTTTGTTTATTATCTGATTTTGTTGTAACCTCTATATCCTGGAGAGTGCATACCTGCCCCTAACTATGTGAAGATAGAATAAGTAAGTAAGTAATTATCAAAAGAAGGCACCAAACCGGGAAGGCTATGTAGCACCATCAAATACGCAAAATAATCAGAGGGCGCTAAATATCACCAAGGATGCCAATACGAGAACAAAAACGCATAAGGCGAACGATATCAAAAGTATCCGAGTCACCAAGAATTCTATCGAGGGACAGGTGACCGCGAGGGGCGGTCGGAAAGCAAGACACACGCTCGTCCTGGAAGTCAGGACATTCAAGAAGGACATGCACGACCGTAAGAGGGACAATGCAACTAGGACAATAAGGAGCAGGGCGGCGCTCCATCAAGTGACCATGGGTTAAGCGAGTATGGCCAATACGCAACCTCGCCAGAGCTGTTTCCCACCGCCGGTTACGGTGGAAGGAGGACGGCCACGAGGAAACACAACATTTAAGAGTACGTAGCTTGTTACCAGTAACAGACAACCAAGAAGCCTGCCAACGGGTAAGGACTGAGGAATGGATAACCGGGTAAAAGTCGGAATACGGAATGCCTTTACGAGAGATGGGACAAGAGCGGACAGCTTCCTTAGCGGCAGCATCCGCACGCTCATTTAAAGACACGCCAATATGGCTGGGAACCCAACAAAACTCAACCGACTTAAATTTACTGTGAACGAGAAACAGCCAATGCTGGATCTCGACAACTACTGGATGAACTGGATTAAAGCACCCGAGAGCCATGAGGGCACTACGAGAGTCAACAACAACCACAAAGGAAGACTGACAACGAGAAAGCAGGAGACGAAGAGCATAGAGAATAGCATAAAGTTCCGCTGTAAAGATGCTAGTCTCCGGAGGCAAGCGACACATAAGTGCGATCAGGAAAAACAACAGAGTAGCCAACACCGTCCGCTGACTTAGACCCATCGGTGAAGACAGAAACGGAGCGGGAGTGAGAAGAAAAGTGCTCGAGGAAAAGGCGTTTTAGAACCGTAGGAGGGGTAAAAGCTTTAGTGATACGAGTCAAGGATGTACAAAACCGCGGAAGAGGGACCCTCCACGGGGGCAAAGAAGGAACAACACGAGGAGAAACATCAGAAATACGAACGGAAAGAGAATCCTGTAGGCGAGATAACCGGACAGAAAGAGGGAGGTGGTGAAGAGGAACAGGAACCGCAGGAGGGGTAAAAGTTAAAGCACGACAGAGGCGAGAGGAAGGATGTTGCAAGGACCGCGCAAGATAGCGAAGACAGTAGCGATCACGGCGGTCCTGGAGAGACAGGAAGCCAGTGTCAACATACAGGCTAAGGACGGGAGTCGAACGAAAGGCACCAGAACTGAGGCGCAACCCAGTATGGTGCAAAGCATCAAGACGGCGAAGAGTAGAAGGAGAAGCAGACGAGTAAGCAGGGCAACCATAATCGAGCTTAGACAGGACGAGAGAGGAATGTAAAGCAAGGAGAGTGCGCCTATCTGCCCCCCAAGAAGTATGGGACAAGACCCGAAGGAGGGTAAGGGCCTTAGAGCACTCAACACGGAGGTAAGAGATATGGGGAGACCAAGACAAACGAGTGTCAAGGAATAACCCCAAAAGCTTCGCGGAATCTTTGTATTCAAGGGGATGACCATAAAGTGACAAAGAGGGACGAAGAACAACCCGTTTCCGCGTAAAAGTCATGGCACAAGTCTTAGAAGTAGAGAACTTGAAGCCATGACCTGTGGCCCAAGACGACACGGCATCAATTGCAAGTTGAAGCCGGCGTTGAAGGAGAGGCGAATCATCACCCTGACAACAAAGGGTAAGATCATCGACATAGAGAGCAGAGAAGACACCAGAAGGAAGAGAGGAAAGAAGACCATTGAGGGCAACCAGAAAAAGAGTAGTGCTCAGAACACTACCCTGGGGCACACCTTCGTATTGCTGAAAAGAGGGAGACAGAGCGGTACCAAGGCGCACCCGAAAGGAACGACGAGAGAGGAAGCTGCGGAGAAAGAGAGGGAGATGACCACGAAGGCCAAAAGAATGAAGTTGAGATAGGATATGATAACGCCAAGTGGTGTCGTAAGCCTTTTCTAGGTCAAAAAGGACGGCAACAACGGAGGTCTTCGCAGCAAAAGCAGTACGAATATAGACCTCCAAGTTCACCAGGACATCTGTCGTGCTGCGGCACTTGCGG